TGGTAAGGTTAGGACCTTCGCAATCGTATTCTTCTACACACGCATAATATAGAAAAACGTGTTGGGATTGAGGGTCACTACTGGAAAATACAAGAATCACATATATGAGAGGATCGATATAGTTAAATTTGATTTAATAAAAATTAGATTGAATCGAGTATTGATAAGATTTCTATGTCCACGTAGAACCATTGGGGTTTCATCTGCATCGATGGAACCAAACTAGACAAACCCACAAACTATTGGTTTCTTGTCCATCCGATATTTGCTTTAAAAATTAGAGTAAATAGCACAAAGATTCTCTATATTTTATTAAATTTGCAAATTGATTCCCTATATTTTTTGGTATATATGTTGAATTAAACTAATGTATTACAACATGTTTGATTGCTCTTTAAAGTTATTTTTTAAGAAAATATTAAATTTAACTTTACTTTTAAACACCATTAAACAAGTTATAAAGACTTGCTATAAAATTAACTGTATTGGGAGAAATATCAAAAGCTTTATATAGATTCATAAACTTTGTCCCTAACTATGAGAAAAAAATTAATGAATTAATTAACATATGGAATCATATTCCTTTGACAAGTGAGGAATCTATTCATGTGCTTAATTTGTTGTAATTTTGAAAATAAAGAAGTTACGAGACAATTCCTTAATTAAATATTCCTATGTTGCCAACATGTTGCATAACAATGTAGCAGTTGGATTAATTTGGTCCCTTAGGGAGCTTACAAATTGATCCATGCAGTAAAACCTACTTTATTAGGCAGTGTTATGATCTTAATGGCATTAATCAGCTATTTAATTACATGATTTTTATAGAATTTAATACTTAGTGTCAATTGCATTAGTACTTGATTGGACACTTGAATATACAAAGGTTTAAAGCACCATGGCAATATTTTGTATTGACAACACTTATTTTTTTCCTTATTTAGATAATTTTCTTGATTTTATATTTTGCACATTCCTATATTTTGATCTAATACTACATTTTACATTTGATATTTCTTCACATGAAATTTCCTTCCAATGATAATAAATTGACCCCAAGGAGTTTACCATATACCTTTTAGTGTTCCTCTATCTTTTTTGAATTTACAATAAATTTATGTTTATATATGTTGTATGCGTGAATGTTATATCTATAAACTAGACGTGCAAATTTACCTTGCATATGAATCAAAATAAAGGGCAATTGGACACCTGGGTTGGCTAAGCTTGTGTTCAAAAACAAGGCTCGATCCTTTGGCTCATGTAGACATGAGATGAGCTCGAGCCAGCCAAGAGCAGACTCGTGGGCCTCATGAATCGAGTCTGCTTAGCTCGTGAAAAAAATAAGCTCAACTCGGCCCATGGATTGAGATGAGCTGAGTCCATGAGTCAGCAAGCGGTTCCACTGTTTGCCACCTCTAATCGCATGTGTTGACTTTCACATGATATATATGCGGACACCACTAATTTAACTTGTTGTGAATTATCCAAATTGGGTAAAAAAAGAAAGTTTCAAAAGCATTCTAATCAATTGTCATGGTACTTTACATCGATTAATGCATAGAATTTGACTTCAATGGTAAATAGGTAAATTTTGTATCTTGGTGACATGAAGTAATGATAATGTCTGAGCATGTAGTATATGCAAGCTGCAAAAATTGAAAAAGTCAATTTGGAATATAAATACGATAATGTAAAGGAAATGATGTGTGTACAGCACAAATTTATAGTCCTGTCACAAACGTGTGGTCAACAATTAGAATTAATCGTGGGCTCCATTCCTTGTATGTGAGAGAGCTATCAATCATGCTATCAAATTTGCTGTACTTATAGCATTGCTCATAATATAAATATTTTGTTGGTTTGTGCAATTTATTTGGCATCTTCTCTAAAAAGAGTTTGGACATTTTCACTTGGCCATAGACACAATTACATGGGACAAGGGCCATGATTATTTATATTTAGTCATATCAATATTTGATAAAAATAGATCGGAAAGAAAAAAAAATTATATGGGTACACTCGACAAGTTATATTTGAGAAAATAGAACGTCTTGTGGGTATACTTGACATCTTCGTAAAGTTGAACCTCTTATTTTCCAAATTTGATCTAATCATTGCAAGAAATGCCAATTTGTGGTATAACCATTTTCTGCAAGACCCTAACACTCTTGCTATCAACCACAAGCGGCCAATTCTCCTCCTCCTTTCTTTTCATTTCATTTGCAATTAAAATGAATAATATGATCGATCTCATTGATTGGATTCCGATTTTAATTTTATAATGTATGAATCGATATACAAACTTGATATTAAAATCAACCTATTCCTTCAAAAATAAAGTCTGATTTACTCTTTAAAAGATGTCAGAATTATATACTAGTGCCCTTAACATACGAAATTCAGTCAATTGACCATTCACCTTTTAAAGAATTCCAAGTATCAATGCACTACTAAAACCTTTATTTCCATTTGTAATTTGAAAACTCTTTATTAGGACTATGCCTTTTAGGACCACGAAACATGGAATTTTAAGGACCAAAAGTCCTAAAATATTCAGTTCTCCTACAAGGGAACACTATGCTTGGATGTTTCCTTGTATGCAGCCACGTTCAAATCCACCCTTCAATTTAATAGGGGAATTGAACATCGTGGGGGATTTTTTGTCCCTCTTTTGTAGTCTACTAAGAAGAGTAGAGGCCAACCATTTACATATCTTCTTCATCTCCATCGTGTCTGCTCACTAAATTGCACCTTTGCCTAATCATTTATCAAATTTTCTCGTGTACAGTGTCGTGATGCGATTGCAAAAAAGAAAAGAATCACAACTCTCATCTTTAATGTCCAACGGTAGTATTTATATCATTCGTGGGTGCAGCTAACTCTCCATGAGATAATTGTATCTGTATTAGCCACCCTTCTTCATAGAAAAAGAGAGCTCAGAAGACCTTGTCTATTATGGTACGGATAAATCAATGGTACCAACTGAGCATTATTTCGTTTCATATTTGGTTTGGAGGCCTATGCTGAAAGTAAGGATCCAATGAATTCGAAAGAATTGAACGAGATAAACTCTTTAACAAATTTTGCTTAGACTTCAACAAAGGCCTCGATCATCTCTATTGATCGAATTTGGAATTGATTGAATTTATAGTTTTTGAAATTAGAGGTTATGACTTTTAAAGCGACCGCCAAGTTAGAGGTTCTAACATGATTTTCTATATTTCTTTTTTTAGTTGGGACCTCACTATTTCAAAAAGATAGATTTATTTTGAGAAAAAGTTATAAGCATGGCATCTTGGTACTTTTCCATGAGTTAATGGCAAAGTCTTGATGAAAAGCAAAGTTTCTCAAACTCGATCTTGAATAAAGAAACTTTCACTAAGCATGTCAACGCTCTGTTTAATTTTTTTCTGTAACAAATATGTTTATCTATGACATTATTCCTACATTGTCTGGCCGACAAAAAAATCTTAGTATGGCCCCTTTAGAGATCTCCTTTTCTTATGGTCTATCCCAAAAGCAGAAAAAAGAATTTATATTTAATTTCTGAAAAGCACATTCCTTTTGCTTGTCATTTTAGCCATAATTCAGAAAATGGAAAAGGAAGACAAGAAAGATTACATCAAATTATTTCCCCTTGTGCTTCAAGTTATTAACTGAGCCATGAAAATGAGAAAGAGTGTTATGATATGCATCACATATTAGATAGACGTAAGAACAAATGAATGAACAAGTCAATTCATTCCATAATTCCCATCTATCTAAAGCTTTGGCCTCTAAACGAATCGATAATATGAATTTAATTTCGTAGTTGATACGTTAATTGATCGAGAGACTTCAATTTAAATGCACTCATCACTTACCGGTGAGTATTTTTTCTTATTCGTGTTGTTGCAATTAGAGAATATCCTCTACTTCGTAACAATCACGTGCAACAAATATAAGCAAGTTATTGCATTTTTGCTCGAAAAAGCATCAAATGGTACGTTGATTGTGTAGTTGAAAAGACTTATTGTCTAGTGCCAAAATGGCTTTGAATTTATGCAATAAAACCGAAGTGGGGAATGCCAACAAAAACCCTACCCTATAAAGAGGTGGGACTTTCACTCTTATCTGTGACATGACTGAAAGAAGAAAGAGGAGAGGAATTCATCTCTGGAATGACACTGCCATTTTATTTTAGGAATAAGCCAAATTCCATTCAATGCAAAACACTGCCAACCAAAGCTTCGTGGGATCCCACCATCCCAACCAATAATGCATACATACCGAAAAGGTGTTTAGCCACATTTAAAATGAATTCTCAGTTGCGGCCCAACGGAGGCATGGGCCGTAAATTGAATCGCTATGAGCAAAAAAATTTCATGGTTGGCTCGACCCCTGACACAATGTAAATGCCTTGTTAGAGCATGTAATCCTTCCTAGTTTGAGGAAGACAGGGACGGACAGAGTTATTTGGAGGGAGCAAGATAACACGGTACTTCGTTTAAAGGGAGATTGTTAAGAGAGTGCAAATGAAGTTTCACATCACTTAAACATTGGAGCGGATGATACTTATTATCCTTAGAAAAGAAATGCTTCTATTTGCCTTAGATGGCCAGTTAGGGTTATTTTGTTACATAACAAACTCACATGTTCTCATCGACCCATTGTGCTCATTTATGCACAGTGGACGGACTTCATAGAATATTTATGGGAAATGCTAGGGGTACATAATTTTTGGTACACATGGATGTCCATCCTCTCACATGAACGGGGCTCGCTTAAATAAAATATTCGAGTGGACCCCACGCCATGTGAGAGGGTTAATACCCTTATGTATAAAAAAATAAGTCCAAGAATCTTTATCCCTTTTTCTATATCCATGATACATTACCAAATCAAACTTGCCCCCCCCGGTCCGAAAAGGTTGAAAGATTAGGAATTTATATGATGGACAAAATAGTTTAATGAACTATTAGAGTACAGAGATATTAGGCGATATAAAAGTGTTGACCTAACATAACACCTTAAAATATCATTACTCGTTAGCATATCAAATGTACTGCTCTTAGTTAGCATAGTGAATCACCCAAATTTGAACCGCAAGTCTCTTCTTACCAGGATAGACAGGACAAACATATAGTCCACAACATTGACTCGACACATACTACTTAAAACTAGCAACTACTCAACCTAGAACATTTAGCAAGTTACTGTTAACCAAGGTTACACAAGCCTATAAGGTGATTCCAGATTCTAAGAACCAGATAAAGGTGCACGAGGCTCTTTCAGTTTGATCTTGATTTGGTTAGGTTAACTCACCATGGCGCTTCCTCTTACATGGTGTCCGCTTTTTCTTTGCTGACTGATTTTCGGGCTTCAAATCAGGAGTCTCAAAATAATGAGCAGAAAAGCCCGTACTGCTAAGCTGCAAGTCCGTGTCCACATCAGCAACACGTGCAAGGGGATTGACTGCAAGAAACATAAAATGCAATTTTATGTACTAGATTGGTTCGTCATACATAAAACACCATTCATAACTAAAGCAAGCAACTGAGTACATATGTGGGCTAAACTTTAATAGACGATGTTCGATAAAAATCTTGAAGTTCAAGCTAAAAAAACTCAATAATTATTGCTCGGATTATAACAACCATTTTGCCTATTCGCGAAAAATGTTCATACAAACAAAGGAGGTATTGCTTTAGATAGGCACAAAGAAGTATTTATAGACAGGCACACAAGGCGATCAATCAATGAATATGTTTGCGACAGTTGGAACAATATCAATGTTGGACAGAATCCAATCATCGCTAGTTATATAAGAGTATTTCATTAACACTTGCACAGCAAATGATTTTTGTGCAGACTTTAAATGTCTCTTAACAGTTTTCCTTAGTTCATCAGATGGACAAGTTTCTAATAACTGGAAATAAGTCAGATATTCATTTCCCAAGACATAAAAAACTCTTAAGCCAACTGTACATAAATAAAATAAAAAAATTCTAAAGCCAACTGTACATAAATAAAATAGAAATGTTCAAAGCAAATAAGACTCATTTGATAAATACCACAAAATATATAAATGTAAAAGACTACTTTATAGAATCTTTAAGCATGAAATACAGATTATGATGTAAAATAGCGGACCAACCTTTTGATGGTTCGAGACATTCTGGCATCCCATCATCATTAGCATCATAAGAAGGTGCAGCACGAGGACGCTTGCTCACATAGTTTTGTCGCAAAGGTCTTGGAATTTGAAATGAAAACTGTGACAAGCTAACTTCTTTGTATTCTGGACGATCATTCAGGTACCTTCAAAGACAAAAAGCATCTAAAACCGCAAAACAAATGCAAGGAAAGTAATGACCCAGATCTCTTAAATATACAACCTCCAACATTTTTCACAAGCATATGCACTGAAAATGAACAATAGAACACTTTGAAGATTACGGATCTACTTCTAGAAATCGGCATTCAACAAGTATTCCTGAATAATCTCATATTTCAATTATTGAACCATTTTATTTTACTAAGTTCAATGTTAGCCAGAACAGGCTTCATTTGGTCTATACCCCATGGTTTATAAAGAGGAAAAATAAATATAACAGATACAAAAGAAACAAAGAAGAAAACTGTTTTAGTACAACAGTACCACATCATCGCCGATGGACGAGACAGGAATAACAAATCTTTGGTTGGAATTGAGGATATATTATCTGAGGAATTTTTAGTACGATTATTTTTCTTTGTCTTTGAAGGTAAATGGTGGAATCGCAGATGACAAAATCCCTTTCTACAGTTAACCTTTCAACTCATTCCTCCATCCCTTGAATGAAAAAGAAACAGAATCACCATCACATGTTTTTAACACCCCCAACTCTCCAAACAAAATAATAAAATGTAAAAACTCACATATACAGTTTAGATTTTCTTTTTCCTTCGTTTGTGTTTTATATTTGAGATTCTTTGATTGTATGTGTGTCACCTGGCCGCCTGTGAAAGGAGGGCAACGTTTGTGGCGGTTGGAGTTGAGTGGTCGACACTGGGGAAGTCAAATCGTGACTGTGGACACAGAGGGTGGTGGGTGAGGTCGGTAATGGTGTGTCATTGGTTGTGGAGGTATCTGGAGTAGGTTGGTGGGAGGGGGCAAATGGTGAGGACTGGATGCAATGAAGTGGGACAGATGGCAAGTGCAGATTGAGGGGAGAAAAATAAAACTCCAGGCATTTCTGTGTTGATTAAGTGAGAATTTTACCTTTGAACTTCCACAATAGATCGAAGTCTCTTGCCTGATGGTGCAAGATAATACCTGTGGATATTAAAACAAAACACAATTAGAATAGGTTTATAACTGTTTCTTTACCATAATATAAATAATACATTAATTTTTTTAAATCGATACTAATATGATTGCACATTCGTTACATGTCATATGCTTTTAGTCTGATATGAATAAATAGATCTCCCATGCAACACCTGCATGGCTCCTATTGAAAATATTTTCTCGCTCTTATGAAGGAAAATCAGAAGGATAAGTTCCTCTTCTATGAACTGACTCAACAGGCATGCAAGAACTGAAATTTTTAATCAAGCGCTAAATTTTATATTGATGTATCTTCATAGTGCTTTATCCTCAAACAAAGCAAGCACTTCACAGTATTGGAAAATCAGAAGAATGGGTTCCTCTGCATGGAATTGATTCAATTCTCTATTCAGAACCAAATTTTAACTCTGAAGCACTTCTATAATTGTTTATCCCTGTATGAAGCAATCACTCCACAATGTGGGAAATTCAAGGGGATGAGTTCCTTCTCTATGGAATTAATTCAACAGTTAAATGTCCCAAACATCTAAATGGAAGCAATTAACCCACAGAAAGGGTACATTATGAAATTGCATTCAACAACACAGTAAAGACAGGCACCCAAAGGTGTCACTCAATAGTTGCACTGTGATATGTATTTGTGTGTTGCACAGTTAGATGACAGAGTATTGAAATAAATCAATGTATCATATATTTGATTTTTCAGGTGTACATAAGAGGGTGCATTTTAATGATTTTTTTATGATACGTAAAATCTGTGGGATAATAGGGTCTATGATTAGAAAAGAAAAGAACAAAGGAGAAGTAAAAAAACAAGAAAGCGGCAATATTTCTATGGACATCATTTGATAACATTGGACATACACTCATGGATAATAATAAGAATATCCTGTGCATTTATCCTCCTATATTACTTTCTAGAAGTTCTTTCATAGCATTTAGCCCTTGTTTTGTTTGGATAAAAAATTAGATTTTGAAAAAGTTCATAAAATGCGTGGTTAAAAGTTGATAAAATTTGTGGGTCCCATAAAATGTGTGGTTGAAATGGGGGCCAAACAGGTGCTTAACATCTCAAACAAAGATATAAAATTCTAAGCAGTAAAAGAATAACTACTTCAAATTTAATCTGATAAAAACTGATTGATTCTTCATAACAAATGAAACTAAATTAGTCTAAACTTTCTACAATACTTGTTTGTCTTTGAATAATATATTTGAATTTTATATGAAAAACTGGATATCTTTGAAATGCATTGGCTCCATGTTGTCCATGCTCAGCTCCATAGTTTTCCTTAAAAGGAATTTCAAATTAATAGAGCAAAGAGCAAAGGAAAAAAAATGATGCTTACACATCTGCAAACTTTGAGCTTTTTTCACCTCTGATACTTAAAATCCGTTGCCATCCAGGAGGGGGTCGAGCAATGTTGGGTTTGTCAATTGCCCAAAGCCTACTTCCATCTTGTGCAATATCAGGCTGATCATTACATGATATCTCAGGTTGCCACTCGCGAGCTGTTTCACACAAGAAAGGCCGTTCTATAATGTGTTCCCTTATTTCCTCATATATCTCCTTTTTGGGAACAAGCCTCCATTTGAAACAGTTGGCGCATTGAACAGCGAAGGCCCCTATAAATCGCAAAACCCGATTTGGAGAATCAATGTGGCCTGAAACAGGTGACATTTCACCAGCACCAGTGGCAGCAGGGTCATAAAGCACCAACTGCTTTTGAGCATTTTCAGAAGATTGATTTGCTTCCTCTTCCATATTATTATTCACTAATGTTTCTGTTGAGGCAACATCTCTTTTAACCTGAGAAACGGTCTCCAGGCCACCTGGCAGATTTGAACTATTCGAGACATTTGGTTCTCCTTCCATGTTCTTTGAGCATTTGCTTCCTCTCTTTCCAACCATTGATGCTAAGTTTTAATAATAGAGTCTGTATCAAGTTGATTCATCAACACCTTAATTACAAGAAACTACCACTGCTTTTAACACAACAAAGCTTCAAGAACTTGCAAACACTGTGAATAGCCAAACCTAGTAGAAACTAACCAGCAATTAATGGAGCCTTTATCGCAGAAAAAGCTTCAAAAACTGCCAATATAAAGAGAAACATTTTTTCAATCTCATCCTCATATTTTGCAATTTTCTAAAAGAACGCATACCCAATACAATCACAAGCATTTAAGAGAAAATCCCAACCAAATATAAATGACAACATAAATGATGCAAGACGAAAACAAGCAGTTTGATCTTCATTTCAAACCTTCTGACAGAAAGACATCAGGCCTCATTCAGATACAAAAGAAAACATGTAAACATTAGCAACCAATTCATGGAAAGATACAGATATAATATAAAGCTCCAAATATTAAACCCGATGAGCAATTTAATAAATGGCACGAAAACAAAAGCATAAAATAACACTCACGCAATGGTTTCCCTCAGTAATTGCAATATGGTGTTGCATGATGAGAAGATGAATGTTAAGACAGATACAAAGCCTATAGTTTATTTAGTAGTCATAAAATAGAGAATAATTTGACAGCTATCACAAGGAAAGTTCGAAGAGTGCATACATTGGTACTTATTATTAACTACATATCGTCTCTAAGTTGAAACCCTACTGTGGTACATGTTTGTCACCATGGTGCACAGCTAGTATATAGTTAGCCATGTATGGTGCTTGAAGCTTTTTTTTTTTTTTTTTTTAAATGACTGTGGGTGTCTAAACCAACTTACGCACACATCGACTAATCCCACGGAACCCTGAAGTTTATAGCTGGGTGCTCACCTCAGTGGCCTTGAGGAACTCGAACTGGTAATCATTGGGGAGCAAACCCAAGATCTGATCTAATTCCTCCAAACAAATAACATTTTAGCACGTGATGGCCTAGTACTCTTTACATATAAAATCAAGAGAAACATCTACATGATGGCAAGATATGGTAGCAGCCTCTTAGAGTTAAAAAATGGGATGACGCAAAGACTGTTTCAAGGCTCAAATCATGATTTAGAGGACGAGCAGACTACTTGGGAGCTTGGATACCCATAATATAGTTTGTTATCTGATTCATAGTAAGATTTTAAAGAATAAATATTAATAACATTATCCATTGGACAAAAAAAAAAAAATTCCTGAAGTGATATAATGCTAATCGTTATGAGATTAAAATTAAACAAGCAGAACACAAAGGAAAGCTCGTGTAAAAAACCAGCTATAAGAACAATGTAACGCAAAATTGGACACCAAATAAGCTCTATTCAGCACTCATAACCCGATTGACAGCATTGCTTATATTCTTTCCACAGTTTCCTGCACATCTATAGGAGAAAGACCCCTCCCCCCCTCCTTTTCCTAATTGAATGGGCCAAAATAACCACGAGCGGCAACGATATTATAAGTTTCTTCCTCTTGACCGAATTTTAACCTTCATTAGCTACATGCATCTCAAGTAAAGCATAAAAGAGAAGCCGCACAGAGCATCCAATTATTACTAGATAACTGCTGTTCAAGAATGAAAGACTCCTACAAATGGTCATTTGCCCTTTGACACTGTCAGTCTTCTGCAAAAGCTTCTCAAAGATGATATCATTGATAGAAAACAATGTTGAAAAGATAGGTAGCAGAGTTTAGAATCTGATAGTAGAGAGCAAGATAACAAGTACGCCAAATATAATCATCTCTCTTTCCTCAAATATGCTTTGCCAGCAACAATATTACATGGCTATAGATATATCAAGCATGGTGACACCTAAACATCCTGAGAGAGGAAATTAACACTATATCTGACAACTCCCAGGACAAAAGGGGACATGGTGACTCCAAACAACAAAATAAACGCAATGCAATAATATGCTGAAATGTTCTTGAAGATGTTTTTAAGGATGCTACCACTTGTAAGTATCACCTTTATTCAACGTTCATACATATTTAAAATTTCTATATGTTGAGGTCTTCAAATTTTGTGGACTCAAAATTCTTCCATCACAATATTCCATAACAATTAAGTGTTTGTGCAATAAGAGAGAAATCGGCCATGTTTGACAATCAGAAAGACTTTAAAATAACCATCATATTTTTCAGTTGACAAGCTGCTCTATGACATGCAAATCCACACTTATATTTGATTACATCAATACATATATCACCAGAATAACCGAACAACAAACAAAATTTGTTAATTCCAAATTCTTGTAACTTTGACTCCAAAATTGGAAACAAAATTGTAACTTTGACTCCAAAACTATGGACGTCATCCAATTACCGCATCGTTTATAGACTATAAAGTTAAGTCCATACCCATAAAAGTCATCCTAATGTGTCATGGTAAAGAAAAAATACAACTTCACAAGTACGGAACTCACATTATCATCGTCACACAAATAAAAATGAAGATGTCAAACCAAAAATGAAATCGAATATTTTGAGAACCCAAAAAAGGGTTTTACAGAATCCATGTCTTAAAAAAAAAAAAAAAAGGCTTAGTTAAAAAAATAAAAAAATAAAAAAAAATCCCAACATCGAGAACAGATCAAGAAATGTAAACTTAGATACTGATATAGAAAGTTAAAACGCTGAATTCTTCAGAAATCTTGAAATCTCGCTCTATATACAACCATGTGCACATGTAAAAACTTACATATATACCCATATATAAAACCAGTGAAAGAGAGAGAGAATTTACAGAACGAGATCTGAAGAAATGATTATCAACAAAACGTCTATTCGTCCGATGATTTCTGAATTAATTCTATACATTGGCAAAAAAAATTGTTACTGAGATTTTGTTCATGTCGCGACGGGATATTGGTAACGAGGGGATGTTAAGATTTGGGGTCCATCTTAAGAAGGTCAATCTTATTAAGAGGGGTGTCCAAATTCTTTGTATATTGGTCATTATTTCGTTATATTACCGATATGAGATTATATTCTCTTAACATGCCATTAAATGGTGGCTCGTTTGAGCAGACCAATTTTAGAATTCGTGTGCTCATTTTTAGAGACTTAATCGGATCGAATCGTTCGTTGGAGTTTAATGGGCTCTGATACCATGTTAAGACTTGGGGTCCATCTTAATAAGGTTGAGTAGTCCAAGATCTATTTAAATTGGTCAATGTTTCGGTATTTAACCGATGTGGGATTTATTCCCTTAACATGTCCCCGCAAGACGGTGGCTCTTTTTAAGCAAACCAATCTTGAAATTCGTGTGCTCATTTTTGAGACGTATAAATCGGATCGAATAGCTCGTTGAAACTTACTGGGCTCTGATACCATATTGAGATTTGGGATCCATCTTAATAAGGTCAACCTTATTAAGAGAAGTGTCTCAATCCTTTATATATTGGTCATTATTTCGGTATTTTACCGATGTGGGATTATATTCCCTTAACATACCCCCGCAAGATGGTGGCTCATTTGAGCAGACCAATCTTGAAATCCGTGTGCTCATTTTTAGAGACTTAATCGGATCGAATCGCTCGTTGGAGCTTAATGGGCTCTGATACCATGTTAAGATTTGGGGTCCATCTTAATAAGGTCAACCTTGTTAAGAGGAGTGTCCCAATTCTTTATATATTGGTCATTATTTCGGTATATTACCGATGTGGGATTATATTCCCTTAACAGGGAAGAGGGTATGAAAACAATTAATACGTATGTTAAATTGGTAAAGACGAGGGAGGGGATATATTGGTAAAATAATTCATTGGTACGTTAAATTTAGCACGACTGATCTCAGAACAATAGCAGTTCAATTGTTCTAGTGATAAAAAGTTTTAGTTCGGTTATATACCCAAGGTGGTGTTACCGAAGCGTATCCCCCCTCTCACAAACACGTGGCCCCGCGAGTATTTAATAATGTCGAACTATGGTCTCCATCTTGATGATGTGAGTAGGGTATAAACGATTGTGTAAATGATTATGTACGTGTAGCATGGTTCTTTGAAAAATGAGTGATTGAAAAAGAAGGAAAATTTTTCGATTTACGTGTAATATTATTTTATGAAATATTATGTGATTAAAAATAGAAGAGAGAAAAATAAAATGTAATGAAATGAAAATTAATGGAGGTCAAACAGGGGCTAAAAAGTTTATATACATTATCTTAAATTGTGATTTTAGTTCTTTCTTCTTTCGTATTGTCTCATGATGTCCGATTCATCTTACAAACATGTCATGTGCCTATATATCACATAAGAGGACAATGCCAAAAGATTGGTTATATTCTTTTATATTTAAAGATGACTTTTGTTTTTTTATTTTTAGGCTAGTGTATATTTAATAATTATGTTAAATTAGTAAGAATATTTTGAATTATCTATTGGTCTTAACTTTTTCAAAAGGAATCAAAATTTACCCTTCAAGTAGAGAACCAAGATATATTGAGAGCATAGTGCAATAAAAATGAACTAAAAAGAGTGAGATTCAGACAAAGCCCTAGTTTCATCCCCATTTTAGGGGGAAATAATGCATTTTGAATAGTAAATTGATGGAGAATGTGTGGTTAAAGAATAAAGAAAAGTTTTGAATTTACGTATAATATTATTTTATTAAAGAATGTATGGTTGAAATTAAGTGTTGAAAAAACAAATTTTTAGAAGAATGAAAATCAAACAAAAGTTAACACTAACACAATTTAATGCAATAAAACTAAACTAAAATAATTTAGTGGAAATTAACATGATTAATATTTTAATTTTTTATTAAACTATTATTCCCTCTATCCCATAATGATAGTCCTACTTTTTTCACAAAGATGAAGAAAATTCATTAATATAGTTGAAATAATAAATTTTATTATCATTTTTTTCAATATACCCCTACATTAATGAAATCAATATTTAAGGTAATTAAATTATATTTGTGATAACAAAGCACATTAGATAGGGACATACTAGGAAACTAAGGTAATGGTTGGTTTGCGTTTTCATTTTTCATTTTTATTTTCGAAACGATTTTTAGTTTTCCCTGAAAACGGTCCGTTTTCGACGTTTTGAGCGTTTTCAACATTTATAACTGAAAACGATAAAAAGTCATTTAACGTTTTCAGTTATAAATTTTAACTCGTTTTCGAAAACGACGGACTAAACGCGTTTTCCACGTTTTCGAAAACGAAAAACGGAAAGTGGGTCGAAAATGGCAAACTAACCACGGCCTAATATATTAACTGCACTTTCAATTAAGAAATAGGAGTATAATTTGATAAAGACGAAAAAGAAAAATAGAACTACCTTTATGAGACAGAGGGAGTAAATCAAAGGGGGCAAGGGTAAGGCTGGCAATTGCATTTTCCACGTAGGGGATGAGTCTGCAGAAATTGAAAAGACAATGTTTGGTTTGTATAAATCTTGGACATATACGGAGAGACAGATACGAAGATTTGACAGCTTTTTAAACCTAAAATCATGTGTTGTAAGTTGTAATTGTCACCTACCTAAAATTTAAGAATATTGATATCATACCAGTGGAATATGTAATCTGTGAAAATTAGATATTTTGGAAATGGAAACTGTTATGGTGTATTTGATTGTCAATATTTTTTATGAAAAATGTATTTTTTTCACCCAAATTTTTATCTTTGTACTGTTTAAGTGCCATTTTTTGATGAAAAATATTTTCCTACTTTTAGTCACGTGACCATATTTTCCTCAAAATAAAAAAAATAAAAAAATTCTTTAGAGCAAGTATGATTTTTTCCAAGGAATTACCTCTCTCTCTCTCTAATCCATCCACCAATAAAAAGTACAAGTATAATATTTTTTAGGTTGAAAATTAAATAAATCAAACACATTTAATTGACAATTTTCTTGCAAATAAATTCTAGACAATTGAATTACCTAAAATTTATTTTCCTTCCATACAAATTTCATGCTTGCAAACGAATGCACACTTAGTATCTCTGTATTTGTGGACTTTTGGAATCTGTTAGTATTTGTGAAAATTGGGGATTTTTGAAATGGAAACTTGATTTTACGTTTTAGTACGTTTATATATTGGATTATATTTTCATGTTTATATGATTTTACATTTTAGTGCAATATTTAAATATTGATTGAAGCATTTTTAATATTATTTAATTAAATATTAATAAACAATCAACGATCAACAACCGTCCAGCTGACTTAAATTCCTGCGTCTGCCACCGCTTATATGTTGATTTATATATTGTTAATGATCTAATATTGAATTTATTCCTTAACACATGTGTTCTCATTTTATTTTCTTTTTTAAATGCTAATTAGAATTAAATTGTTCATTGAAATTTAATGGACTCTGATACTACATTACGATTCTTAAAGGTCAATTTTGTTAAGATGAATAATATAAATTCTTATATGTTGATCTATATTTTGATAATCATTCCTTCCCCTCGAAATTAGTTAGTCGCTTAACACATGCCTATAACAAAAGACGGATTATCGGCAGTATATAGCCCATGCTTGGTTTGAATTAAAATCCAATTAAAATTTCAAGTCAAAGTCAACTACTAATTTTAATCACATATTTTATCAACTTCTATCAAAATTTACTAAAAATATAATTTTAATATATATTGACAGCCAAGTGTGTGTCACGGATCACTATTTATATATTTATAAAAATATATGGATCAATCTACAATTAATCTAACGGGGACCACCAAGTGTGGGCAACGGTTCACTAATTACATTACATTTCAGGATTCAAACGTTTGCGGTCGCTCAAAATAACAAAACTTATCCTTCAATCACATTTCCAACTTTATGCAACAACTCTATATGCATAATATTCATGTGTCTTCCTCGTAATATTGATGGAGGAACTCTAAATTTTCAACCAAGGGGATTCCCCGGTGGCTACCAGTGATCTAGAAAATCAAGGTGGCTGTTGTGGAACTTTCCATGTTCTCAGTATTTATGCATTGACACCCAATTTCCATATCCTCATTATGTACACAACCTAAGTCGAAATTTGTAGATCACTCGTGTATTTGTATTCGTTTAAGGATTCATACCAAGCAAATTTTCCATTTCAAAAAATTAGAAGAAAGAATTTATATGCATGTGCAATGTTGTTGTTTCATCAGATCTCTATGATTTGCGGCCTGCAAGTAAGTTTTGGGATAATGCATTGAGAACTAGTCAATTTTGATCCGATTCTAGGTACTGCGTGAAAATAAATATTGAATTCGATTCTACAGAATTCCTCTTGTTATTGGTGCATTGTACCATGATACACTAGATCTTTGAATACTAAACTCTAAAGATTACGTGTGTTTTTGCATATATGTTATTGTATAAAATTTCTTAAGAATTCGTATTCGATCTAGATTTTACTGTCAATTCTTTGTTTAATAGTTTATGCTTTTTTCTGCATTTATGAGTTAATCTTGAGCTTTAAAGTGAAATTTTATTTGTTACTTTGTTTAGTTGATTTTTTTGTATTGCTATTACAATAATGACAAACGGTTTCATACTCTATTTTTGTTTATTTCAATCTGACAAGTATTCATAAGTAGTTTAATACTTTATTATTCTAATTTTAAATATAAGGATCTAGATCGGATCGATACAGAACTGGTTGATTCGATTTCAATACGATTCTATAGTTAATATAGAATCAACGGTTCCATTTCTATAATTTCCATTGGTACTCGAATTCGTTCGATTACCTTCATAGTTGGATTGAATCAGACCGCGTCCATTCTAAATAAAATAAAAATAAAAATTTGACTTGTTAATCATTAATAGAAGTCCACTAATTGATATTCAATTGACAAAACCATCTCAACAATAAAGAAGATATAACAATCTGGTATGAATAAATTTTTGCATTTAATCCAATAAACTAAACAAAAGATATAACAATCTGGTACGAATAAATTTTCATTTTTATATTCCTAACATGGTACATATTCTATATAACCTTGTTATTAAATTAATTAAAGAATGTTCAACGGCAAGGAAAGTTCCCGACAACGCCAAGAGAGTGTTTCCCGACAGAGTTGTGTCAAAGTAACAATTGCCCGGACAAATAGTTTACAATTAATTAAATTTGACCAGTGATCTTGAACCTCCCATCTTCACTTCCATGTTCTCAGTATTTCTGGATTTACACAATATTATATATAAAACCCAATTTCCATATCCTCGTTATGTACGAAATTTGTAGATCACTCGTGAATTTGTATTCGTTGCAGGATTCATACTAATCAAGTTTCCCATCTCAATGAATCCATATGTATGAACATATTGTTGTTTCGTCTGAGTACTCGCAAGCAGCCATTCTACCGCTATAAATGTGAAGTTTTGTATTGTGATTATTTGTTTCCAGTGAGCGAGGAAGTGATGGGTTTTTAAGCTCTTGAAAAATTAAAGGCATTTCTATTGTCTCATTAATTTATTAACGTTCGTCGCATCAGCGAATTTTATGAACTTTGACGTAGCAATATCTTATCAATGTTAAAAAGGGGAAAATTACAGCAACATTATCAAACCTTTCGTTTATTAGCAGAGTTTGTCCAAATATTTCATTTGTGCCACAGTGAGTATCAAACCTCTAAAAAATTTGCACCTAAGGTCTAAATGGAAGGTTTCTGTTATTTTGACTGTTAATTGACCCAATAAATTGACTTTGACCAATTTTAAAAAAGACAAAATTGTAACTTTGAAATAAACTTAACAACAACAAAAAATAATAATAAAAAATAAAAAAATCGCAAGCCAATCATTGTTCATCTTCTCC